TCGTTGACACCAGCTTAAGAGAATTATGGAGGAAAGAGAAAAGTTGGATGCCAAAAAACGACTGCCTGGGTCACAAGTCAGAATTCTTCCAATTTAGAAAGATTGTCGGCTTTGGTTGTAGGAGGTCTGCCTTGAGTGGCGTGGCTCACGCCAGTGATTAGTAATCATTTCTTAGGAATCAATTTTTTTGTTCCAATGTTGTAGAGCTTGTTGAGAAATCAATGTTCTCGTATATTACAGAGGACCGCGTCATGTTTGCATCTTTTAACAATTTAAGATCCTTTAAGTATTTATTAGTCCCTCGGTATAGATTTATGACCCCCATTATGGATGTCAAAGCTTTGAAAGTAGCCAAGAAATGTATATAAACATCTTAAAACTAAAGACCACATTCTGAGCAGCTCTGCAAACTCACAAGTGTCATTTTAACATAGACTTAGAAAAGCTTTAAAGATCCCTGCAAATTCTAAAACTGAACGATACGAACCATAAAGGAAGTTAACTGGATAATCTGGATAAACCCTCTTGGTTTGGGGTCTAATTTCTGGTCCTTCTGGTCAGCAGGATCTGGTTAAATGGTTTCACCCCTCATCCCCAAATATACAGCAGTTACTATGTTACACATTCCCAGTGAGTGAGGGGTTTCAGCCCTTACTAAGCAGCTCCTGGTTACAAACCTGTTATCATTTGCTGTGCATCATAGGGTTCCATGTAACCGTCGTTCTCTCCTACTCTCTCTGCATCCCTTTGACCTTTCGTCCTCTTGGCATCATACGGGTCAGCGTAGTCTTCTAAAATGATGACCTGCGCAAGAACCAGAGGGGAGAGTCACCGAGGATTATCACACACCAGAATGGCAGCGGTATCAAAATGGCTACTGACAATCTGCTGATATGAGAAGAGGTCAAAATCTCCAACCAGTTCCCTTACAGCTTTTGAACTTGATCTTGTTATTCATCCCGTTGCACACACAACTGGTTTTGCTTTTTGTTTGTTTGTAGTATAATTGATTGTCAGCCATTCATCTAAACTCTGCTGATCCCAAGGCTGTTTTCACCTCCCTGTCTCTCCCTAAACAATAAAGCATTTGTTGGGGTAAAGAGTGGCAGGGGTGGGAGGTGAGGAGTGGGGGATGCCTATAGCTCTCCAGCATAAAAAAGTGAACTCTGGTCTACCACCTTCCCCATGACTTTGGTCTTTTAAATGCCAGCCAGCTGAGCAATATACTCATGGCAAGGCAGTCAATCACCCAGAGATTAATGCACGTCCCTCAGCAGTGGCTAGGGAGTCAAAGTAAGACCAAGGCCTGCTTCTCGTCCCCAAGGAATCTGTAACAGCTCTAAGGACAAAAGTCCTCATAATAAGAAGACTAAGAAATAGGTCAGAACTAAACAGCACTGTGGGAGTTCCAGGTTCAACAATTCAGAGGCGGATTGATTCTCAAAGGCTACAGTCAGACAGAGTTTTGATTGGTATTTGTGTCAGAAAGCACTGGTCCCTCCCGAAATGCAAAGGGGCCTGGGCAGGTAGTGTGTGTCCTAGTGCTGTTCTGTAGCAGCTGGGTGGCAATGTGGGAGCTCAGGGAACCCTTCTCAGGAGAAAGCCCCAGGCCCTGGTCCACCACCTCCGATTCCATTCTCCGGAGAACTCACGGAGGAGGACCACTGGAGCTTGCAAGGAGGATTTAGATCAACAGGGAGGAGTGAGGAAGAGGGGGCAGCCTGGATGGGTGCCCTCCACCTGGGAGGAGATGGCCTCAGAAACTCAGGTGTCCAGAAGTGATGACCACGAAAATAACCAGGCAACCACTGCCCGGGGCTGGGATTACCACTCATTCCTGGACTCCATTCTCCTGACCACCCCACCACGTGGATTGCATTCCCTGGGTACAGTGAGGAAGCGCGATACGCCGCCGAGGACTGCGAGGTGCTTTCGATCTAGCCCGACACGTAGATTACCAACTAGTATCGGGACCAGCTGGGTCCTCANTTAAAAAAAACAAACAAAAACCTCACACTTGAATTGATTCCTATTTTTGACAGGGAAAAAAAAAAAAAAAAAGCTTGATCCAGCTTTCCAACCACCCCCACCTGGAATCCACTGGATCCAGCACTGCCATGTTAAAATTGGGGTGTTAAGGGGTTTGAGGAGGGGCGCCAAGTAAGAGTTGGAAAAGCTGCTCCCACTGAGATAGCTTCAGACAAGGTTTTCAACAGTCATCTAAAGCACTTCCAAAAACCAGTTGGGCACTGAGAAGAGAAAGGAAAATGAGGATGCTCAGAAGGCTGAAAGAGGAATGCGACATTAAGGGGTCTTCTTGAGCCCTGGTCTTCCAACCAGGCCCCATTCTTGGTCCCCCATAAAATTCCTTGGGGAAAAGACTTGCAGCTGAGGGACACAAAGGAAGTGGCTTTGGCTGAAAGGCCCAGCAGGAGCAGGGGGGCCGGCCCCTGGCTGACAGCGCCCCCTCCTCCCCCACGCTGCACCCCTCCTCTCCCTCACCTGACAGCACCCGCACGATCTGCTCCTTCTTCCACTCCCACGGCTGCTCGTACTCGGCCGCAGGCCGCTCATCGTCCGCGGGCAGCCGGCCGTGGGCCTCTGCCGGCCGCGCCTTCCGCTCGGGGCCCGCGTCAGTGGCCGGCTCGTAGGGTGTGTCGTACAGCTGTGGCGCCTTCCCCAGGAGGTCCTTGGAACCCCGTCTCTTGGCCGGCGCCTCTGACTTCGCACCAGTGTCCCCCGGCTCGCAGGGGCTGTCCAGCAGCTGAAGGGCCTTCACCAGGGGATCCTTGGAGCCTCGACGTCTAATTTCTGAAAAATGCACACCACAGAAACACTTTCAAAGAAAGGTGCCATGGGAGCCCGGGACCTAAGCGAATGACCTCTTCCCCGCGGACTGTGTGCGGTAGAAAGGGGCAGAGGCCGCCAACACTGTTCCTTAGAGGGCTGGTGACTTCCCAGCGGCAGGAGGAAGCCTACAACCTCTTCCCTCCTGTTGCCTGAGCCAGATAATGGGATCCAGTCACAGGATCAGGGGTCACATCCGAAGACAGGTGTGCCTCTGGAAGCCCCTGCAGCTTGTGACAAGAGAAGTGGCCGGGAGGGAACCTGTTCCACAGTGCTGGTCCCGTGTCGCTCTGAGTATGAGTCACCTGCAGAGTTTTAATGTTGTTAGGAAGCGGAGATCAAAGTA